GGGGGGGGGCGTGGTTGCAGGATACATGGATGTATGTTGTGCGGATACATGATGGCGGACTACGGAGTACAAGGGAAGAGCTGAGCTTGTACCCGGAACTTGTTGATGGATTGCAGCGAAACTGCAGCTTGCTTGCAGGGAATGAAGATGCTGGGGAACAACAAAGAATAAAAAAAAAAAAAGAAAAGCCGGAAAGAAAAGACACAACCACCACGACTTCCCGGCGCCACCGCCATCATCATCAAAGCAACGCCGGCTCGCAAGCAGTCCGGTCATACCATCGCCACTGAGATGGGGGGGGGGGGGGGTTCCGGCTTCCCAGGGCGGCAGCCGGGTAAGGACTGGTAATAATACTTGATAAAAAGAAGAGAAAAGCCTTGCGACGGCCCCGGGCTTCTCCACAAGGCAGGCTTGCGAGGTCTCCAGCGGGCGAAACCAAGGTCGTTTCGCGGATAGCTCTGTCTGTCCGCCCGAGGTAAGGAGGTAAACTGATAGAAGGGCAGTTATTAACTAGGGGGGATGAGAACCGGAATTAAGCACATGCTGAACAGTTAAACAGTGATACAGTTATACAGTTATACATACTGTGTGCAGTGCAGTGCAGTGCCGATAAACCGGGTCTGGTAACACCCGTTCAAGGCCAAGCTTTTTTGCACGATTAACGAATCTCTAGTTATCTGCACTGGGGGGGTTTTTTTCTCCGCGTTGCAGCTCGTTCAAAAAACACCCAAAAATAAAATAAAACAAGCATCAAGGCTTGGCTTTTTATGCCAAGCTTTTTTTTTTCTTTCGCGTTCAAACGAGAGTCCAACTAGAAAGTAGTAGCAGTAGCCCTTACTACACCTTGCTACTGTAGGTAATCCAGTCGTTGATCCCCCGAGTCTGTCTGTGCCCTTCAGAGGCTTCCGAGGCTTCAGAGGAGGCCGGGTAGTGCCAGAGGCAAGTCGGCTGGCAAAATGTGGTCTTGAATCGTCACCAGACGGTCTGCAACATGGGCCATTGTTTATCGCAAGCACCAGAGAAATGTATAAATAAAGGAATAAAGAAAATAAAATAAAAAATGAATAAAAGCCATCAAAACGGAGAGGGAAGCAAAGAAAGAAAAGAAAGGAAAAAAAAAAGGCTCAAGTCAAGTTGCGGGGCGTCTGTGTGCTGGATCATGTCCAAGGCTGTGAGACATCCTTCGGACGTGTTCCGTCAGGCGCATTTCAGCTGCAGCCAGGGGGGAGATTAACAAGACAGAGCAGACGACGAGAAGGAGGTGGTATTGGTACATAGCGGGATACTGATACTGACTGATACTGGGGTCACTGATGCTGGTGCACGGGTGGTTGGTTGTAGAACAGAGAGCGTCTATGCAGTGAAATTACCTAACAAGTACAGTCAGTACATGGCCGTTATTAGCAGGTGTTTGGAAAGGGGAGAGAGGAAGGGAATACAGTAGGCAGTGGTTTACAATCCCCCGCACAAAGCTGGCCTGGCCCTTGAACAGCACAGCCAGTTCAGCCAGTTCAGGCAGTGATAGCCACCGCTGAAACGACCAGCCCGTTTCCTCGTCGAGTCAGCAGTTGCCCAATGCTTTGCTTTTCGTCCTTCTGAAATGTCACTGGGCGGGCTCCTATTCGTACACGTCTCGATGCTGCTGGGGCAAAAGTGTGAACCCCCCCCCCCTCCCCCT